AGAGAAGCCAGGGTAGTAGACAGGACACGCGAGGAGGACTCAGTCGTGGCCGTGACGGGAATGTCGTCGGGCCCACGACACAACTGGCACAGCACTTCTAAAGGGATCGGCAGATCATGAAAAAGGAGAGGTGGTGAAGCGTCCGGGCAACTATCAGAGGGTGCCGCCTCCGACTGCTGAACAGCCTTGATTCGGGCGGCTACAGGTCCGACGTAGGACAGGATGTGCGAGAGAAATTGTGCGGCTGAGGAATCACTGGTGTGGAAAAGCGGAATGCCAAGGCTAAAATCCAAAAAAAACAAGGGAAAGGGCATAGACACAGAGAAGGAAAATGCTGTTTCGGGGCTGTCTGGCATACTGAATTGTGACTGCGGACAAGAGAGGACGAGGACCGTGATAAAAACAACAAAAAATCGGAACGCATGACTCCGTCAATTTATGTAGTTTGGTTAAAGACGCCTTTGCTCTGCCAGAGGGATAGCATTCAACGACACGGCACCTTTCAGCTTCAATAAATGCAATTTGGAAGGCCTGGGATACTCCGTACAAAAGCTAAGGTTCCCAGTCCTAAAATTAGGCGTTAGAGTGAATACGATGATAATGCACGTGGCCAAATTGGGATATGGCTGATTCAAGCAAACGTTCTCGACCTGAAGAGCCTTTAAAATAGACTAGCCTCTATTGGAACGTGTTTGCTGAGAAAGATAAGCATGTGCCTCGAGTGATAATTGTATCTTAAAGTTGGAATTTACCATCTCGTGCCGACCAGGCACGGCATGATTGGATAGCAGTCTTCAGAACCTTAAATACGGCGGCCCCCGTAAACTTCATTCAGAGGCAAAGAGAGAAATGAATTTCGCTAAACTGACGAAGGTTTTCTTGTCATGGAAAGATCTCAAACGACCCTTTCTAAGCGTGATTACAAAAGAATGGGCGGTGGAAGCACCATAGTAGGGTTTTACATGGAAACACTTAGCACAGAAGTTAAAAAGAAGAGGAATGTGCATGCCCACCTTGAGAAAATAAGCTATTAACGTTGGAGTAAGTGTAAACGGAGCATCTCTCCACCCCTTCCAGCGAGTAAATATCTACCTGAAGGTTCATGAGCAAACTCTATAATTTTTGAAGAGCATTTTCGTTGACATTCATACAGAATGAATACGGAAGAAAGAATAAAGATTCGCCCTAGCGCTAGAGAGAAAACGTTTGCTACCCGCTTAAGATTGACAGATTAAGGCTGACATTTGTAGGTTATTCGCGTCCTTGAAGTCAGACGGAGGTGGTGCTTTAACACTTAGGCGGCAGGAACGAGCCCAGTGCTTCCGTTTTGCGTTAGGGTCTCGATTTCTAGCAGGCGGCTGCAGAGCTAAGACGGAATATCGGCAAAGGCGAAGAAGACTGAAGTAGTAATTCCTGGAACACTGCCTTCTTCAGCTAGCCATGCCCAACTACAGGCCAGGAAGGAGTTAATCAAACGAAAGAGAGCGGAGAAGCCATAAAGTGCCCGTATAGTTGGTATACTGTACAAATCGAAGGACATACCAGGTTGTGTGAGTTTCGTCGGCCAACTCTGTTCGAGCTGATATGAAGAGAAAGATGCAATCGAATACGGACCCCTGACTGTCCGCAGGGGGTGCAGCTGTCAGACCGGCCATCAACAGCGACACAGTGATTATTACATCTTCTCCAAGGCGCATGGGAAGAACAGTAAATTAGTGTCAGTTCCTATCGTTTTGCTGCCTGGAACAAGTTGACTTTACAGTTCACTGGGGAAACATTAAATCAGAGGACGACATAAATTACGTTCTTCAGAGCTATAGTGCTATGGAAGCACGATAGCATTCCCTATTCACACGAAGCTGAAGAAAAGCAAGGTGAGGCCGATACCAAATGGTCATTTAGTTCCTCGAATGTACAGTACGTTCGGTATTAGCTTGACTCGTTACGCTTAAAGACCTATTTCGCCGGCCAAATATATTTTTAAGTAATTTTACTGACGATAAAACGTGCCTTTTGGATAAAAAAAACTGGTGTATACGCAGGTTAGTTTCAACACTGAGAGGTAACCCAGACTTCATGTGCGCATGCGCCCGTTACAGAGGGCGTTAACAAAGCTCCCTACCCTGAAGCGGTTTTTGTTACATCCATGCTAATTAGTCACCACAGGGTGTAAACGACCATGATATTTTTTAAAGGAAAGTCCACTCTTTTTTTCATAGTCTGATTTTACAACTTCTACACTTCTATGCCCTAAAATATATTAAAAACGCCAACAGGCTCAGCCTCGCTTACAGCATCCCCAGCATCCCAAATATTTACAAAGAGTTCATAGAAATGAAAAGACCCATCACCAAAAGACCCTGTGAACTTTTGATAGCACAATATCATTTTTGTGTGTTTCGGTTCCTGGTGATGCAAAACGTACAAGAGCAAGGCTTGAGTATAACCAACGCTTTTACCATCTTCGCTACCACACATCGACCGAGAGCCGTGAATTTAATTTTACTTAGATCAACCTACGCGCTCAGCGTATAAGTGCACATTATTATAATCTTTGGACGGCATCCACTCCGAGAATTATCTAATACGGTCTTCTATATGTCATTGTTGGAAATACTTTCTGTGCTTTCTTATCTGGCTGCAGATAGCTCACTATTAATTGAGTGTCCACGTCTATGTAATTTAAGTGGTCTTTGGCGTTCTATACATATTTTTTGTAGGTAGAGTTCGCGACCTAGGCCAAAACTCTTCGTAGCAAAGAAGCCTGTTCTAGGCAAGGAGACTTAACCACAAATTAATTGATCTGTCTTCAAACGATCCTGAAAGTGGATCACAAGGAACAGTTTTTGGTCGTGGAATCGGCTGCCGCGCCCAACAAATCCAATCCAGATGGATCGGTCACGTCAGGACGTGAACTGGGCGTCTCCTAAATTAACTGTTTTTTTGTGTAGACACGAGGGAAAAAACAATATTAAAAGGGTGTTCTAAAAAGCTCCTCCTAATGTTCATGAGGTAGCCGAAAATAGCAGGAAACAGTTGAACCTAATCAGCGGGACTGGTAAACTGCCAAGTAGGGTGGAGCTGTAAAGTCTGCAGTAAAATGAATACGGGGCTAAATTGAGATACAGGAGCCGAACTAACGAATTCTAATCTGTCACTACAGCGTCCAGTCAAGCTAGTCTTGAATGTGAATAAAGGGTTGGGCCTGGGAATAAGTACTTCGGAGGATTTAGCACAAGGCCTCCTGTAGTGTGGGGGGGCACCCATTCGCGTGTAGTACCAAGTGAAGACAGGACACGGAGGAAAATCGCCAGCAGTGCCTTGTTGCTCGTGTCAATACAACGCAAAGTCAGAGCGAGCGTAATGTGTCCCGACAGATACAGCAGACGATGAAACAGATAAAACCAGGATCGACAGGGCAATTTAATGCACTAATTCGAATGCAAAAAATGTTCGAATTTCTTTCCCTCTCTCTTAAATGTGGTTGTTTATTTTGTACGATTGTCTTGGGCGAAATATCGAGGGCATTTTTCGAAGTAACGCAGAATGTCTGTGAAACTCATGGTGCTGCACCAATTTTAATGACTACGATATTAGTCGAATCGATATGGAATAGTCAATATTTTATATGCAGTAACTATATGTCTCCCGGGACGTTTTAGGTGGATATTTGCAGTGGCCAACCAATCCAGCGCAGCGAAGTTGATAAGCCTATCGGCGCAAGGGATTTGTCTTAGCTGGTGATTGGGAGCGCACTACATGGATGTAATTCCTTTCTCAGGCCTGTAGTTTAAGTTCTCGGTAACATTAAGATGGCAGTGCTAATTAAAGTTCGTCATAAAAGTCGTCTGTGTTTTTGTTCCAAAGTAAGTGTTGGAATGTACACTATGGTACTGGCAATAGGAGACAGCAGCGATTTTCAATGAATAGTGACCTTAACTCATAAATGAGTGGTTGGCCTACACATTCCGGGCGATCACAATACCAGGCTGACCGGTGCTCTCGCGAAAATCCCTATGCCAGACGTGCAAGCACCAGTCGACGCCTGACGCCTCGATACTGTGCAGGTAATGGTATACGAGTCGCACATATAAGAGACAGGTAGCGTCCGGAGTTTACTATATCCATATTCAGTTTCTCAAGGCCGGACTGCCGATGCGGGAGAGTCCAAAGAGCCCATCGAGCGAGGAACAAATGAGCTTGTGCGAAAGTTTATCAGCCGGTAGGACGCTTCTGTTCATGCAGCCAAATTCGCGGGGGAAATACTTGTGCATTACTCCCTCACTATTACAAAAAGGAACCAGATTCTGCCCGGATAGCCGTTCTGACAAAGAATAAGGGCTTTGCCACTCGAACATCTTCCTTTGGGGAAGGTCACATAAGACGCATGCACGTCTATCGTGTATAAGAAGGCCAGCTCGGTGGTGTACACCGAAGTTAACCCAAAACCCAACACTAGCAGCAGTGAAAAACACAAGATAGTATGCAAGCGCGCGCACGCGA